AAAACAGAAACTGCGAACTCGCTGACGTCTCCGTCGGTTCTGGCAGGCTCCCTCGGCTTCGGGATGCTTTCCAGCAGCTGCGCCTCGCCAGGGTGCTCCAGGGGTGCCCGACTGGCGCCCCGAGCGGCCGCCAGAGTCTCGAGCTGTGTGGTCCGAGAGCGAAACCTCCTCACGCTGCAGGACAATCGCGACGGAGGAGCTTTGCAGCATGCTTCTGCTTCCGGGGGGGGCCCTCGCCGGGCCCGGGGAGGCTCACCTGCACGCTTTCTCGGCCCAGCGTTGTGTGGACAGGCGGCGGAGTTGGGAGGGTGCAAACGTGCCGAGTGAAGAAAGACGCCCTCGGAGGACGCGGGACGGAGAACCCGTCCCGTGGAGTGGAGGGCCCTGACCGCCGGGGGTCCACGTCCAATCATGGAAGAGACGACGACGTCGGAGCCAATGGAGCGACGCGATCAAGCGTGGTCGTCCTCGCCGACGCTCGCGCGCACGCTGCCCACGCAAGGTCGCGCGTAGGCGCCCTCCTCTCCAATGCGGCGTGCCGCGCTGGCGGCCCGCGCAAGCTGCGGCGCAAGGCCGCTGTGCCGTCTCGCAGAAGACCCGATTTTGACTGCCGCTCAATCGTGCAGCGTCGTCGTGCTGATCTTCGAGGCGCTCTTGGTGCCCCTTGTCCGAGGCTGCTGTCGCCACGGCCAGGCGCGGCTTGGGGGGCCACCGGCCAGCATTCCGCACGGCGTGGGTCCGCAGACACGATCTCGAGCGGAGTTGGGCGCCGTCGTCACTCGAGGGGCGAGGGCTGAGTTTTGTGATGTGCTCCCCGCCCCTCCGGGCCTCCACACGTCATCGTGGGCCGTCGCCGCCTCCGCCGCCGCAGCCGTGGTCGTCCCGGGCGTCGCCGCCGCCCCCGTCCACGCTGCCATCAGCATTCGAAGATCGGGGGTGGAGGCCAAAGGATGGGTCCCAGGGTCGAACAGCGAGTTTGGTTGCCCAAGCAGCTTCTCGTGCAAGGTTCCCATCTGTGTCTTCTGGTTCGGACTCGGTGCCCGCACGGTCCCCTTCGTGTGATCTCCCGCGCGTGCCTCTGCAGCTGATCTCCCAGATGGTCTCCCGCGCACAAGCGCCCGCATGGTATCCCGCATGTTCTCCTGCGTGGCCTCCGCCCTGGTCTCTCGCGCGGTGTCCCACCCGTATAGTCTCCCCTCATGGTCTCCCGCATGATCCACCGCATTGTCTCCCGCACGGTTTCCCTCGTGGCTCTGTCCATTCCCCTGAGCAGTGGTTGCACTTAGGTGGTTTCTGACGAGCCTTCTTTCAAGGATTTGGACAGGTCGGCCGAGGACTGTCAATATTGGCGCCTCGTGGGCGCTCGTGGGCGCCCTCTACGCTCGGTGGGTCGGCTGAGGATGTTCCACGCTGCCGCCTGTGCCGCCTCGTGGGCTTTCGTGACCGCCCCGTGCGCTGGGCAGGGCGACGGAGGTTGCGCCGCGTTGCCGCCCGTACCGCCTCGTGAGGGCTCGCGGCCGACCCTTGCGCTGAGCTTGCCCAGCCCGTATGGCTGAAACCGCATCGCTCACATCGTACACATGCTCGTGTATATAGTCATAGACACATACGTACACACATACCAGTGCCTCGCATTTTTGTACCACATAGTTCTCTTATACCACGTAGCGTCCACCCCCAGCCCACACCACATACATACGCACGACATGACAATCCCGGGATAATGACATACTCTCCCACCCTCTTCCACGTGACCTTATCGATGCACCTTGAGATGGTACAGTTGACGTATGATTCTGGTTCATCGTTCATTATCCATATGACCTTACACCATCACGGGCCAGCCAGTACAGATCCCCTTCCCCGCTGTCAAGAGACAATATGCTGGCATGTTTTGTTGTCTCGAAAGATCATGCTTCAATGATCCCGTGCTAGAGAGAAAGACTGGGCCAAGGCCAAGTGCGCACATGCCGAAACCACACCAATGCACACCAGTACTTCCGGTAATCGTAAGCTCTTTTAGGTGTTTACGGAGCAGTGGGTCCAGTCGCAGTCTCGCTTCAGTTCGAGTTCCCGTCAATGTTACATTTACATCGGATCTCAACCTTTTCTTAAAAAAAAGTCTTCCCAGGCACAACGCAAGGCAATGATGAAAAGTAACACATTCTTCAAGAGGGTTCCACGAGAAGAGGCCCTTTGGTGCCCTGTCTGGACTTCTGGGGGCCTCTTTTGGGCTTCTTGGGGGCATCTTCGGGCTCGTTGGGTGTTTTTTGGAACGCCTGCAGGCGGTCTCGGGGTCCTCTGTGGATGGAGGGCTCGGAATATCACTTTGAAGGGCCTCTCTTGGGCTCCTCTTGGCGACCTGTGGGGGCCCCTGACGAGGAGGAGGCGGAGGAGGAGGAGGGAGGAGGGAGGAGGGAGGAGGGAGGAGGGAGGAGGGAGGGAGGAGGAGGAGGAAGAGGAGGAGCAGGAGGAAGAGGAGGAGGAGCAGGAGGAGGAGGACGATGAGGAGGAGGAGGAGTAAGAGGGAGATTTCTTGGGCCATCATAGGGCCCTTCTTCGGCCACATTGGGGCCCTCCCGGGGGCGACGTAGGGCCCCCCTTGGAGCGATCTTGGGCGCCTCCTGGAGCCAGTTCGGATGTTGTCAACACCACTTCTGCGCACTTGCCTGACATGTATGCTTGCCTTCAGGGATTGGGACACTGTTTGCTTCGTCGAGTTTCTTTGTCGCCGTCGCCGCCTCGTCCAGCAGGGGCGCGTTTTTTCCGAGGGCCAGGCCGCGGCCCGCTCGAGCGTTCCTCCCCTTCCACGGACAGGCGAGGCCCTCGCTCGAGACATCCGCACGAGTTGCCCCCTTGGGGTGTCCAAGTGCCACGCCTGCTTTGGTGTGCCGATGGCCGCCTCGGATCACTAACACGAGGCGCGGGCTCAGAGTAATGGGGGCTCGGGCTCGAGGCCTCTTCGACTTTCACTGACAGCCGAGGCCCTCGCTCGAGACATCCTCCAGATTCAGGCCCCAGGGGCTCCAAAGTGACGACGCCTGGAAGGTGTGGATGGCCCCGCTCGGATTCCATCGTGAGGGTGGGAACCCCGGAGGGAGGGACTCCCGCGATTCCGAGCCTCATGATCCCAAAAGCGACGGCTGGTACCTGATTTGGATGGCCCCGCTCGGACTCCAGCATGGATGTGGGGGCATCATGGGCAGGGGCCTCCGCTCGAGACCTCCCCGAGATTCATTCACAAGCGAGGATCCCGCTTGAGACTGCTTCACCATTCAGGCGCCAGCAGCGCAACCGTGACGCTAGTTGCGAGGCTGCGATGGCCTGCTCCTCCTCCTCCTCCTCCTCCTCCTCCTCCGCCTTCTCCTCCTGCTCTGGTTCGAACATGGGGGCCCCACACGGACGGGCCCCCGCCCGAGATTCCTTCACGAGTCAGTCACAGAGGAGGCTTCCGCTCGAGACGTCCCCATGATCAAGCCTGAGGGGTCCCATCGTGACGACAGCTGCAGGATTGGAGGTTTATTGCAGAGAGATGTGTCCGCCGCCGAAGTTACAGGGTTTGGATGGCCCCGCTCGGGTTCGAACATGAAGGTGGGGGGGCCCATCGGGAGGCGCTCGAGATGTCCTCGTGATTCGCTCACAAAAGAAGCTCCCGCTGATGACGCCCGGAAGAGAGAGCGAGTGTATGAGCGTGTGAGCAAGTGTGTGCGAAGATGATGGTGATAGTGATGACGATGATGACGTTTCTGATCACGCGCCGATGCTGCTAACCTAATTGGGACAGCAATTAGATTTTCACACTTTCGATCAGGACCCGAATTCCCATTTCACCACGCAGTGCACCCTTGTTGATCCAGGATGCGCCCAATGCGCGAGCCCGTATCACATGGTACTACGCGTGACGGCGCGCATGGCGAAATCCGCCCAAAACCATTGGTTGTCAATTTGGAGCTCTTCGAGCACACATCAAAACTCTCATGCTGATTAGCACAAGCTTGCCAGGTTTCTAAGATTTCTGCGCGCGCACTTTCCTTCCAGCATCATCCCCCTCTCAGCGGCATGATTACACTGCTGTCACCGTCATCGCAACGATCCGCCATTGCTGGCATCATCAGTACATTGCTTTCATCACCGACACGTGGGAATCATTGTCGTCATCGTTGACACCAGCATCGGCGCCGTCGTTGGCCTTGCAGTCATCGTCGTTACCATTGCCACCACCAGCGCTATTATCATCATCGTTGCGCTGTTGTCGACGTCATCATGACACCGCGCCCGCCAGAGTCACCGACAGCGCCTGAAGCACCTGCGCGACACCGCGGCCTCAGACGCGCTTTGAAGCTACCATCGGCAAACGCCACCGCGGCCGCATCAGTTGTGCCAAACCAGCTGGCCGCTCTGCGCGCGCGCTTGCGCGCGCCAGCTCCGCCGTAGAGATGCACCAGTCAGTGCCAACCACATCCGCCATCATGGCCGCATGTGTTGTGCAAAGCAAGTTGCGGGTGGGAGGGTGGGACGTTTGCGCGA